TCTTTAAAAGGAAATTTCAGATGAACATTTTTCCCAGTTAGCAAAGGTCATTAATGAGCAGGATGATATATGTGAATCATGTGAAGAAGACACAGCTGTTATAGACCTTTTAATTGGAGAATACAACAAAGTGTCACTGACTTTGAGAATCATGACATCATACTCAAATTAGCATTTCACCCTCACCTAGTTGATATCACCAAGGCACCTAAAGAATTACAGATGGAATTGATTGAGTTCTCAGTAGATTATATTTTAAAGTCATTGTTTGATGCTAAGAAAAATCCAATTGAAATATGGAAAAATGCAGTAGAATACCCATGCCTTTGGCACCATGCCCCCCAAATGCTTTCTTGCTTTTCAACCACTTATTGCTGTGAATCTACATTCTCCTACGTAATCCAAATCAAGATGTCCTTAAGTCACAAATGACTGATACCCATCTAGAGGGTCAACTGAAACTGTGGACTTCCTTGCTGCAACCAAATATTCAAATGCTTTCCAACAAAAAGCAGACACAACAAAGTCATTAAAAGGTTGGTTAACTTTAAAATTAACAAATAGTTTTCATTTTTTGAAATTATTAAGTATGGAGTAGTTAGATTTTTTACAAAATGATGTGCATTTTAAATATATCTACTTGAAGATTCTTGAATGCAGCCTTTTTTGATCACAGCTAAATTAATGTGACTCTCCAACATGAAAAGTTTCCCCAACCCTGACCTGGAGCATTTAATCTCCCTTCTGTCCAGAGCCAACCCCCAAATTGAATCTGGGTCTCTGGGGATGGGCCCTAGGTATTGGTAATTTTAACAAAGCTTTTAGTGAAGTTAGGGTTGAAAATCTCCAAACTAGTCAGCAAATAAGAGGTACCATTTGCAGGCCACTATGTGTAGAGGATTGTATGGAAAATCTTTACACATAAAGAAACTAATGCTTGGAGAGGTGTTATTTGCTCAATGTCTTGCCACAGAACAGTTTCTCACCCAGCCCATTTAGCTTCAAACCAGAGGCTTTTGAACTTATTTTGAGCATGAAAAAGTAAGGGTCATGGAATTTACTTCGTAACTCAGAACACACATGATAATGAGACTCAAGTTTAACAAATAATAGTTAATTTTGTTTCAAACCCAGTAATATGATCATAACTTGCAGTTGGGATCACTCTTCTAAACTGTAACTATAAAGGTTTCCTTTTTGTTCCTACAAATGGCAAGATCTTTTTCCCATCAATGCCTTCTCATTTTGTTTTCTCACCTGGAAAGCTCTTTCCTTTTTTTCACCACATTTTTTAAAGAGCACCAAGTTGCTTTCTTGCTAAAAAGTGTTTCCAAGGCTACTCCAGTTCATAGTGCCTCTTATTCTGATGCCTATTTTTAACATACAGAGCTCATCACACATTTTTTTATACTAAATTATATGATATATTGTGATGCTCTATCATCATCTTACATCTTAGGTGGTTATGTCTCATTGACTAAATTTAATATCTTTGATGACAGAGACCACATTCTATGCTTTTGTTTCTGTACTCTTCAAAAGGTCTAGCACATTAGGCACATTACAGATGCTAAAAATTATAGAATGTAACCGATTCTATAAACCTCTATATGTCTTATAATAATCTCTTCCTTGAATAAACTACTTGAACTTTTTGAGTTGTTTCCTAGAAATGGTGGATTTTCTACAAGACAAAGGAGTTGAGATTCCAAATGGCTCTGAGCAAGATTCCTGATGCCAAGAATCACCATTCCTCACAAACTGTCCCAGTGCTCCCAGCCCCTATTAGGTGCACCATGACCTGCCCCAAGGCACATGGTCCCTCCTTAAAAAGTACATAACCTCCCTTAGTCCAGGGGATGGATTTGAGGCAGCTTCTCTGGTTCTCCTGATGAGAAGTTTGTCATATTAAAAATTCCTTTCTTCCTTAGCAATCATTGTTTCAATAATTGGATTTTTGTGGGATGAGCAACTGTATCTAGACTGAAACCCCCTTATGGTTTCAATAAGAAAAAGTTATGTACCCTGCACAAGTCAACCTCTAAGCTTTTATTTCTTTATCTCTGAAATGAAGGGGGTTCTAAAGTCTCTTCCAGGTTTCTAAGTATATTTTTCTACGCTATACAAGGACTTCTATAAAATGCACAAATGAAGGAAGAATATTTTTTTATTAGAAAATACTGTACAAGAAAAGTTGTTAAGTGAGAATTACAAAAGGCTGAAACTGTTTGGTATTTTTGGTAGGAAAACTATAAACTCCTCCGTGCTATCTCTGAAATGATACAGAAGTTACTGGAGTTTAAAAAGAATTTGGGTCCTGTGGCACTTGGATACTGAAATGTGATTATTCATGAGCTACATTTTCAAGTTGAATAAATATTCATGTAAACAAATATTATGAACCCTTATGAAATTAAATTGATTACATAATAATAGAAGGCTTAACAATGAGTGTGGGGGTTGGACTGTATGGAGGCAGAGTTATCATGATTTAGGGAAAAAAATCATTGAATACAACTACAGTTTAGATATTGTTTGTGTATAAGTGATTTATTAAACATCACTGAGGATCTTCCCACTTGCTCCTGAAGGCCAAAGGATGTGGCTGGCTGGTTTAATTACTTGCATCTCCATGACCATCACCATTCTCATTCTGATCCTGGAGGCTACTGGTGAAGGGGTGAGAAAAGTAGTCAGTCTCTGTGGTGGTGGTGGTGGTGGTGGTATGTGTCTGTGTATTGGGGGAGGGGTATGTGTTGTAGTGGGCATCTGTAGTCTTCATCTACTCAACATTCCTTTCCCTTTGTTAACAACACTAATTTTCCCTTGGGAAACTTCTTCCCTTCCACTCAGTCCCTATGGTTTGGGTGTATATGAATCCTTTTTCAGATACAGGCAAATGACCCTGGCCTGGCAGTGTGCATTCCATTCCTTGGTTACAATGGTTAGTTCAGAAATGAGCACAGGATCCAAGTGGGTCCAGTGAGACTCATTCTTTGGCTTGCTCTCTTACTGACAGTGTCAATTGCTAAAGAAGTTGGATATATGCCTGGAGATGTAGGTCTTGTCCTTGCTTAGAGAAAATAGAACCAGTGCAATGAAAGCATAGTGAAGAGAGAGAGAAACTGAGTCTTGACACTCTTTGAGCATCTACATAGAAAAAAAGATTTTTTAAAAAACATGTTTGTTTGTTTTTTTTTGTCAGCTCTACTCTTGGGATTTATAAACATATGAGCCAATAAATTCCAATCCCCTCAGCTGTAGGTTTTGTTAAATCAGTTGGAGTTGTGTGCCTGTCGCATCCAACTATCCAGACTTTACCCTTTCTCACTGCTAACCTCCTTTCCTATCTTAAAGTTTGGTTTGCACAGGACCAAGTCTCTTGCTTTTTATAGAGCTCAGGGCTTATTTCCTCTCCATCTGGTAACATAAGTTGCTCCAACTTTTTGCATATTCTCTCCCTGCCCTCTTCCTCTACGAGTGCTTGTTTCACAGCTGCCGGTGGCAGAAGGGAAAGAACTGAGACGTTCAGGTCCAGTCTCAGGCCAGTGATGTTCCATGCAAGTGCCTTTGTGTGAATTAGAAAATGTCACTCCCTCTGCGCCTGGTGCTAGGACCAGTGCTTTGGAGACCAGCCTGGCTCTCAACTTCAAATTGCCTGCCCACCTCCACCTCAGCCAGAGGACACAGTGTAGGATACAAATGGCACAACACTGTGTTGAGGCCCCACAGTACTAAGAAGCAAGGGTTGTAGCCATGAGGTAGAAAAACAAACTGGACTGCTCCGGACTGGAGCAGACCCTCTGTGGCTCACACCCACTGGTAAGTGTTCTTTTCCTAGGATGATGACAGCTGCTGATGCTGTAAGCCTCCTGGGTATCAAGGCTCTGGTCTCAGCAATTATCACAAATGTTGATGACAGCTGGAAAAGCAGTATCTCTTGTCACTTGAAAGCAACATTACCCACTATCATTTAGATCTTAAGGTGATATCTTTCCTGGAGGAACTTCCTGAGTTCAGTTTGTCAATCTTTACCTTTACACCTACACCCAATATATTTTTCTTTTTTTTCTCTTTCTTTCCTTCCCTCCCTCCTCTTTCTCTCTCTCTTCCCTTTCCTTCCTTCCTTCCTTCCTTCCTTCCTTCCTTCCTTCCTTCCTTCCTTCCTTCCCTCCCTCCCTGCCACTTTCCCTCCTTCTCTCCTTCCTTGACAGGGTCTCACTTTGTTGACTGGGCTAGATTGCAGTGGCATCGTCATAGCTCACTGCAACCTCAAAGCTCAACTCCTGAGCTCAAGCGATCTTCCCGCCTTGGCCTCCCAAACTGCCAGGATTACAAGCGTGAGCCACCACGCCTGGCCCTACAGCCAGTATTTGCTGATGAAAGTCAGTGGTTCCAGAAATCCAGCTGGAGGCCACCTGGCAGTGTCCATTGAAAGAGAACACAGCACCGGGTACAGCACATCTGGCAAATCTCCCATGCCACACAGCAGTGACACCTTCAGGGACCCCAGCTGGTCGTCAGTTATTTCAGTCTCCAGTGCGCCTCGGTGGGACCCTCCTCACTGTGTTGGAGACGAGGAAGAGTAACCAGGGAAGAAATGCGGCCGGCTTCGGGAAACTCAATGGCATTGGGCAGTGGCTAGTGGCGTGCACGGACTTTAAGGGGACGCGGGCGGAAAGCCAAGACCCTAAAAGAGGAGTGCAGGCGGTGAGGGGCGGGGGCGAGGAGGGCCCGTGAGCTGTCGTGGGGCGTAGGCCAAGGGCGAGGGTGGCTCCCGTGCGGGGTCTGCACACTTGCCCTACTCTCGGTGCCTGTGCGCAGAAGCAGGGTCGACCTGAAGCGAGTTGGGGGCGCCCTGGGAATCGGAGCGCCGGAGAGCCGTCAGCGATCCGCCCCCGAGCGGCTCGGGCGGTGGCCTCCCGGAGCTCTCCGTCTCTACTTGCCGGCTCCCTCGTCGCTTGCCTCCTCCTCCCCCTCACCTTCCCGCCTACAACGGGAACGGCGCCTTTAAGAGGGAGCGTTGGTTACCCTGGGGGCGGGAACCCCTCGGCAGATCGCGGGGCGGCGGCGCTCGTCCGCGATGCTGCACACTTTCTGCTCCCGCTCCGCCGCCGCCGCCGCCGCCTCCTCGCCGCCCTCCTCCTCCTCAGCCTGGAAGCGTTGTTCTCTGCGGCGGAGGAGAGAAGTGCTATGTCAGGAAAGTTCCGGGAGGGACTGCGCGGGGCCATGCTCCGCGGGCTCGTCTGCGGGCGCCCGCGCGCCGCCCTTTGTACGAGGTGAGACGAGGGGTCCTCGCCCCGGGACAGGTAGCCGCCCGGGGCCGGGAGCGCTTCGGCCCGCGGCGTTTGGCGGCGCTGTGCGGTTTGGCGGAGTGCGTGGGTGAAGCGGGGCTGGTGAGACTGAAGTTGTGCCGGAGAAGCTTGGGGTTTCGGGAAGGCTGCTGCAGCTGGACTGGAGTCATCAAAGCCAGCGCCACCCGGCGGGCGCCCGGCGGGGACCCGGTTTCTCCGGGGCCGCCTCGCCTCCCGACGCCCCCAGCCCCTGCCCGCCGGAGCTGCAGGCCTTCTAGGAAACCGCTCGGCTGCACACGGGCACCCCGCGCTGGCTTCCTCCCCGCCCGGCTGTTCTCGGCGGCGGGCTGAGTGCTGGGAGCGAGAGGGAGGAATGGAATCCTCCTCAACTTTTACACTGTGGTCTCTCTCGCCTCTCTCGAGGGCTGAGGCTCGCCTTTTTTGCCCAAGTGGAAGGCTCCTCTGGAGCTCCGACAGTCTTGAGAGGCTCCCTCTCACATGTGGTTAGGCTTGCGGCGCTGCTTGTCTGTCTTGCAGCCTTGGGAGGTTTTCATCGTCGCCCTGATTTTAGTTCTCCTTCTTCCGCCCGCCCCTTTTTGGAACATTTTTTTTTTTTTTTTAAGACAAAAATTTCTGGAGGTTCTGGGTACTTAAAAACCCCCAACAACATATCATTATGAAAAATTCCCCCCCCCCCCCCCAGGGCTTGCTCAAGTTTTTGAAGTGATCATGTTAGTCTTTAATGAAATATTTAGACTCAGTCTTGACACTTATGAGATACAGGTATTTCTGTAGTATGATGTAGTTTTTTAGTGAGGTAGGATGAGGTTTTAGCCGTATCTTTAAAAAACAGGTTTCTCTCTTGGTTTATTGGTGAATTTGTTTTTCATTATGTCTTAGATTAAGAAGGCTCCAACTAATTTTAGGAGTGATGTATCTAAGAATCAAATAAATGTTTCTTGCATAATCTGACTTTGCTTTAGGCATTTTTATCCGTGGATGAGGTATGTAATACGTGTAGTCAGTTAATGAAACCTAATGTTTAAGTACATTTATTGTACAAATGGGTACTTTTTTTTTTTTATATGCCCTGTGGGTGAAGAAAGACTCATTTTCTCACACTCCCCAGGTCTCTACCACCCCATGTCTATGCCTGTTTCTGTGTCTCCACTCACCTTGCATACATCCGATGTCAACTACAAATTGAAGGTGCTGATGAAAAGTCCCTATATTTTGTTAAGTGTTGCATAGCCCAGATTTTAGTGACATAATTGGTTACATCATCCGGATCATTTTGAACAATAAAAATAGAATGTGGGAGCTTATTTAAAGGAAAGAATGTCAAAAAGTATTTAAAGTAAATTTTTAGGTCCATGCTTTACATGTAATTTTTATGTGTGAAAAAACATACTTCAAAGATAGACAGGGTATAGTGTAGGAAACATCTTATTTGCAGTGAGGAAGCTTTGAAAGAAAATCGTTCCAGAATAATCATTAATATGGCAAAATTTTGTTTGAGATATAGATTTTCATCTCTGATTACAGTTTTGTCACTTTGCTGTCAAATATACCAGAACTGAAACTTAAAAAAAAAAAAAGAAATCGTGGAACACTGTGGCTCACACCTGTAACCCTAGCACTCTGGGAGGCTGAGGCCAGATGATCACTTGAGGTCAGTAGTTTGAGACCAGCCTGAGTAAGAGTGAGACCCTATCTGTACTAAAAATAGAAAACATTAGTCGGGTTGTGGTGGTGCATGCCTGTATGCCCAGGTCCTTAGGAGGCTCAGGCTGGAGGATCACTTGAGCCAGGAGTTCGAGGTTCCTGTGAGCTAGGCTGATGCCACGGCACTCTAGCCCAGGTGTCAGAGGGAGACTCTGTCTCTAAATAAATAAATAAAAAAGAAGAAGAACCCAACATCTCTAGCATTTTCTGAAAATTTACAGCAAGCTGAACATTCTTGGAGAAAAATTTGCTTAGAAAAGTCACATACTGAAAACCCTAACTGCGGTTACCATTTTACCTTAAATTTGGTGGATACCGCAAGAAAGTAAGAATTTAAGGTTCTATGGTAGATGTGACTTAGTTCTTGGACTTGTATTGATTAATTTGAATACCTTGAGATTTTGTATATGATTTATTTGATTTGGGATGATTGTTGTTTAAATGATTCTTTTTGAAACTATATATCTATGTATGTATGTGCGCACACATACATATGGATTTACATATGCATATGTCCATGTCAGACATATATCTACATCTATAAATCTATACTTTGTGTGTGTGTGTGTGTGTGTGTGTGTGTGTGTGTGTATATGTGTATTTCTATAGTGGGGAAAACAATTGGATTTAATAATACATGTGCACTAAGAATAGCAGGTCTAAAAAAATCAGCAGCTAAAAATAGTTCTTGTTAGGGCTTGTCATCTTTTTAGAATTTTAATAGGTATCAGGGAAGTTAAAAAATACTATTTTCCAGTATGTTCCTGAACTCTTATAAGGCGTGGACCAGGGAGCTATATGCCAATGATCCTAACCACATATTTATCTATTAAAATGGACTGAATTGCTCCATTCAGTGTCATGATTCAATAAGGCATTTCTTAAGCTCCAGTAATTTATCTTCTTTAGGCAAATTCTAGGTAAAATTTAGGTGGTCAATATAGTGTTTTCTTCTTTTAACACTTCACAAAAATCACCTTCAGTGTATTCTCCACAGGGACTTAGATAGTAGACCACAAGGCAAGAGTGGCAAACCTGGGGGAAGTTTGGGTACTCTAATTTGTGAAAGGATGCCTTAAGCATTTGATTTGAGAGAAGTATCCATTAATGCTTAGGAAAATAATACCTATAATACAATGCTCCATTCACTACAAGCAAAACTGTGTCACTCACCTTTGGAATATTTCTTATCACGTTTCACAGCTGAAGCTGCTGCATTTCAGCATATGTATGAAAATTAAAAATGAAATGATCTGTGAGACTTTAATTTTCTAGTTATTTACCACAAATGTGTTTATGTTTGCTACAAATGCCCTTTGCTTTGTTGCATGTGGCAATATATATATATATATTTACTACTATGACATATGTATATTTAGGGTGAATTCTTAATGTTTACTAGAAAACACATTAATGAGTTTCACAGAGTATGTTGTGTCTCTTCAACTTTCAAAATGTAACATTTGAGATGTGTTAACTATGAGCCTGAGATCATAGACTTCTAGAGCTGATAGGATCTTGGTCAATTATAGTTCCAGTTTTGTGGGAATATTCTGCTTAAGGTCAGATGTGTCCTTAATTTGAACTGGATGATCGGCAAAATAGGTTCTTTTGTAACCACAAAACATGGAGAACATCCCAAATAATTTGCTGTGTGGGCAGCCCAACATGCTTTAGTGTTTGGTTGGCTTGAGGCAGTGTGCCATGCTTGTAAAAATGGTTTCTGAAGCTGCCAGCAAAGCTGTTTCAGTCTTTGAGTTTGACACAGAATAAAATGCCTTTTAGCCTCTATACCAGAAAATATGGACAGGATTGGTAAAAGTAATTTGTGCACATTTCTGTTTATATTTCAGGAGATTCAGAAAACTGAAGAAATTCTAGCTTAATACACAAGAAAGCCCATTCATGTTTGTTATAAATGTAATGAAGAGTTAGAAAGGCTGGATTTTAACATAGCTCTCAAGTCTTGGGCAAAAGAGTGTACATTTGCAGTTAGGGGGTAATCTAGTGGTCAAATGTTGAAATTAATAATGGCATGGTTATCAGTATTTCTTTTGAGTGATAATGCTAAAGAAATTTCATGCTCTCAGGTCCAATTTAGATTAAAAACATCACCAGCCAGATAATGTGCCAATCATCTAGCATATATGTTAATTGATTCTTAGATAATTTTCAACTGAAACCCTTATGTGTTATTATAGTCATAAGCATTAAATACCTTTTAGGGTTTTTGGGCAAAGAGCTTTTTGGTTAATTTCTTTCTCTCAATTGACTTAGTTCAGTCTGTATTATTAAAGCATTTGAAAAGTATTTCAGGCAAATTCTTTTCTGTGGAAACTTCTGAGGATCTGCCTTGAGGAGGTTGGATGCAAAAGGGACGTGATTTTATACTCTAGCTGTTACTTTTCAAAGGGAGGCTTCTTCACTCCTTGCTATTGTTTTTAAACAAAAACAAATGTGTAGGTAATTTTAGAGAAAGAACATTAGTGTGGGCATTTAAAGATACCTGAAGTTTGGATCAGAATAAAAGTTTCAACTGAACATTATCTAAGAATCACTTAACATCTGTGCCAGGTGTTCTGTATGATATCTGGCAGAGGGTGTCTGCTGCAAGTTTTTTGCTCTAGTTGGTCCAGGGAAGATGTGGATACAAAGGGAGTTGTGTAGGCATTGCATCCATTGCCTTCCAGAGGAAAAATGTTTATATAAGTGTGTACTTTTAATAAAATCCATTCCGTTCATTGTAGCTTAATTTTTTATTTCCTCCAGGTTATGTATGAAGCACACAGCTTCGTCGTACTCTATTTTGATTAACCCTGCTTAAACCGTCATGCCTTCTAAAGTTTCATACTGTCCAGCACTAGCAGAAATTCTGTTCTTGAATTCTCTAAGCTTGTTCTCACTTTTTCAGACATATTTCCTTTTTTTGCATTATCTAGTTCTCTAATGATAGGAGTTTTGAATATAAGGTTTCTCTATTTTCTATAAATTGGGTAAATTTGCTCCTTAAAGATTTAATGATACTGGGAACTTATCATTTTTGTGTCTATAGTTCATGCATAGTTGCTATTGTAAGGTTTCAAGTCTTTATTCTTAGGCTATAATAGTTTTTTTTCTTATTATGAAAGTGATACATGTTCATTATAGATAATTTAGAAAATCTAGACAAGCAAATATAAAACAAAAGGGAAAAAGAATTATGCCCAGAGATAACTATTGTTAACATTTTAGAATATATTTTATATACATATAGAAAAATA